CCGGGTGTATGATAGGGCCCAAAGAGTTTGTGTGAAACCCAGTGTAGGGATGGTACTGTATACAGTTTTAACCAAAGAATGACCAGTCTGTCCAATGACGAGAAGCCAGAATCAGAGATTTAAATAAATAAATGAAGTTTACTGAAGATACTTTGCAGTTTCATCAGCAGAAGCCAGCTTCAACACTCCAATGAGTTCCTAGGCCGCTCTGCTTACAATCACCAATCAATAACAATCATACTCTCACATAACGTCATAAACTGTGTCATACATATAGGTGTTCTAAACTTACTGGTTAAAACACAGATAGACTAGGAAAATTTCCATGTGGAGTTTGTGCGTACAATTCTGAACAATATAATCGTCAGACAACCACTACACTGTTTAGAGCTGACTCCAGACAGATCCAAAATCCAATAGAACACACACACTTAAAGTATAATCTGTTTCTTATTCAAGGCTGAGTGTACTCTCAGCCGTCTTCATCAAAACTGGTTAAAAACCGGTATAATCTACTTTCAGGCAGTCATAATATCCTTACTAAACAAAGAATCACTTTAAAAGAATTAACCGTAAAAACAGCAAAATCACTTTAGACATTTTAGATAGTATTAACTCATAGAAATAACAATAGAAAGAGTTGCTTCCAGTCCTCAGCCTTCAGTTCCACTAAAGGTCTTCGTGACCTCTGAACAAGTTTGTTGGCTCCTGAAAAAGTTACACAGAGAGGCATAAGCAATAAACGTTCTTGAATAAAGCAGTGTGTTTAACTTATTCATTAGTTAAAATCATTTCAAAGTTAAATACTCATTCAAATAATTATATTTAAGAAAAAAAAATGAGAAACAAGATGAGGAAAGGATAAACATTGATTCATAATGAGATGGATTGAAAGGCAGAAATCCGAATCCTTCACCAGCTTTTTTGTTTTTACAAAATGAATGTCCATGATGTTTAAGGTAAGGGAAAGTGAAACTTTATTGTCCTGGTTAGGAAAATTTGTCTTAGGCTCTTGCCCTCAGCTGCAGTTGTCACATACATAGAAAAACAATACAGACATACAAAAACAGATGTGTATATAAATAAATCTACACACCTTCCTAGCAGTCACTGTTTGTTTTTTACACCTTTCAAAATTGTTCTATTGTTTAGCCTAGAAGAAGACGGTAATCACAACAATATATACTTTCACAGATTTTTTTTGAATAAAAAGTATAGAGAGTAATAAAAATACTTTTATGCTGCAAAAATATTTTTTCTTGTGTTTCCCCTCCAAATTTCACTGAACTTTTTCCCTAATTGGTAGGAAGAAAACCTCTCAGAAGCATGCCATGGTTAACCCAGAGCAGGGGCGGATTTTTTATTTTATTATTTTTTTTTAATCTGTGTTGTTTTTACATGCGGTCAGCTTTTATCTCTTGCTAAATTGGATATTATGATGACGAGGATAATAATAATGATAATAGTAATAATAATAATAATAAAGGTTAGGCATTTGGCCCAATTGCCAATGGCTGCTTGGTTTCTTGCAGCCAGAGACTGTACATTAGGTCATCATGACAATTAATATTTATTCATTAGGTCACCTATAATTGTTTAATAAGCACATACTTATTCTAAACAAGAATAAGGCAAAGCCTAGCATAAGCAGTGATTCAAATAATAATGACACAGTGAGAGAGTTAAAAAAGATCAGAAGATATAGAATCAGATAGACAATGTGTACAATGTCAACTAAACAAGGAGAAGCCAGCATATAGACAGTGGCAATAAAGAACGCCACTGCAGAAATGACATATATAGTTATTTGTGAATAAAATTATGCTGAAGTGTTGCTAGTGCTGCATGTCCATTTGTGTGTAAAGGTGTGTTCACATTCACAGGTTACTGCTATCATAAGTAATAGCAGACAAAAGATATAAACAAACAGCACATGGACTCTACAAGATTCACAGATTATTTTGTTATTTAGTGTTTACTGTATGCATACATTTGTTATAAACGGGTTGTTTTTGTTTCAGTCACATACATTTAATGTTTAAATATCTGTAACATATGGTATTGCTTATATTATTTCACCATCTAAGTATATAAGTAGTGAATGTGTAGGTTCGTGGGTGGGGCTGTGTCAGTGTGGTAGTGGGCTGGTGTGGCTACATTGCCAGGGCTGAATTTTTGTCCCAGTCCGTCCCTGACCCAGAGCAAATACCTTAAAACTCTGTTACATTTTACCCCGGGTTATTTTGTGCCCCAATGCTCCCCTAATGTCACTGGATAAAAAGAGTTTTTATATCTATTTAATTTACAGCAAGGAACACTAAACCTTTTCCCCGAAGGTAACAACTCGTGCTCATTAATCAAAACATACAATAAAGGTATAGTTATAAATGTACTCCCTATTTACTCACCCGCAAGTGATTCCAAACCTTTATGAGTTTCTTTTTTTCTGTTAACCACAAAAGAAGATCTCCTGAAGAAAACTAATCGGTAACCTTCAAAATCCATATTGAAAACAAATACTATAGAACTGGTAACAAGTTTCCAACATTTTTCAAAATATCTTCAAACAGGTTTGGAACAAGTTAGGGTGAGTAAATGATGAACAAATTTTCAGTTTCAAGTGAACTATCCCTTTAATTGCCAGCAGCAGCTACTGCCATCCAGATGTCCAGACTTTTTAACCAGGCTGAAGTTGAAGCAAGTTGTCAAAAGACTCTACTAATGGTCAAATGATAGTGTGACAAGAACAAGAAGTAAAAGTGCAGCTACTCTGCGTGTATTAGACATTGAACTGACAGTTGCATAATGCACTTCATGGCACTGAGAAAAAGAGTATTTGAAAGTGCATATACATGATTCCCTGAGGATTAACTCAATATACAGTACAGTATGATCTGAGTCTGAGCAGAGATTTAAGTGCAAGTTTCTGAACTGTACAGATGGTCTAATGGGTCCCAAATCTAGTCTTATTTTCACCAGGGAAATATGTTGTGCAGATGGAGATAATGGCCATGTACAGTACAGTGTGTGTGTGTATGATAAACTGGCATTGCCCACTGGATAAATTGCTTTGGATGCACTTCTTCGTAATGATGGATTTCCATATGCAATTACATGCTGGATGTAGTGAAACTCATTAAAGCTTCATTAAAAACTGTGCTCGCATGAGACTACATGTACAGTATAGACATAACAGAATACATTCATTGAACGACTGAACAATTATATTAAGCTTACAGTTACATTAAGTCATTTAGCAGACACTAAATGAAAAAAGCGAGTATTTATACTGTATTTTTATAAAGAGCGATATGGAATAAAAACAATACACAAAAAGTTCTATAATTACACAAACGTTTACAAGCACATGTATATTACTACTTAATATTGTTGTGCTGTTGTTGTTACTATGAAAAAGTACAGTTGTTTATAAAGATTAACATTATTGTTATTAACATTATTAGTATTATTATTTTATTTTATTTGACTTTGTACTATAACAAATATACCTTTTTAAAATAAAAAACAAGACAATTGTTATTTATATAAATTACTTTGTTAAAATTACGGCTCTATATTAACAGCTTATTATTTTTCAATTTATTTTTATTTTTGATGTTTTAAAGTTTTAAACTATTCAAAAATATTAAATGTTATTATCAGTCACTAAACATAATAATAATAATAATAATAATAATAATAATAATAATAATAACAACAACAACACTAGACTAATCATTATTTTGGTCGTTTTATAATAATACATTTATTATTAACAACAACAACTATTATTATTATTATTATGTCAATAAATGTGACTATTCATATATTTATTCATTCATTCATTCATTTTCTTTTTCGGCTTAGTCCCTTTTTTAATCAGGGGTCTTCACAGCGGAATAAACCACCAACTTATCCAGCATACGTTTTACACAGCGGATGACCTTCCAGCCGCAGTCCAGTACTGGGAAACATCCAAACACACTCATTCATTCACACACACACACACACACACACACACACACACACACACACACACACACACACACACACACACACACACACATACATGCACACACACTACGGACAAATTAGTTTACCCAGTTCACCTTTAGTGCATTACTTTGGACTGTGGGGGAAACGGAGCACCCGAAGGAAACCCACGTCAACACGGGAGGAACATGCTAACTCCACACAGAAATGCCGACTGACTCAGCCGAGGCTCAAACCAGCAACCTTCTTGCTGTGAGGCAACAGTGCTACCCACTGCACCAACGCACCGCCTTAAGTGTAACTAATAATAACATTTTAAAATAATAATAATAATATGCTACATAGTTATTATAGGAATAATCATCACTTACAAACATTTAAATATAATACAATATCCAAATGTATTTATTTTGTATGTATTCATTAACTTTATGAAGCATAGCCATTGTTTTGTGCACCACACTTGATCCATCCCAGTGGATTAAAAATCACTGAATGCCAAACAGTACTCAGTCTCCGCCCTCCTATAAAACACTCGCCGCAGATGATCGTGGATTACTGAAAGCGCGTGGGGGGAGGAATCAACTTCAGACTCTTGGACTGCCATCAAACAATGTAAGAAAATACTCTCACTGTCTTTTACAACTGCATAGAAATACTGAATAGAAATCTAAATGTAATTTCATAGTGCTGACAAACAACTTACCAACGCTGAAGTAAATTATAAACAGCGAGTAGACCGCACATGCGCAGAACGCTTTAATGTCATGAAATTAGCGCATATAACGTACTTGTTTGTCGGATCGCCTCAGTTTGCCAAATACCTGCAAAGAACTCGTTTATTTAAATGCTACTAAATCCAGTTTGTTATTTTGGTGAAAATAGTATCTGTAATGTAACTTTGTATTCGTTGTGGATCTTAAATATAAATTTGACTATCACATTTGGCTAAGTCAAAACTTAAACATGATTAGATAAGGCGCTGAGGGCAAGAACTCGAGGACACGATCAGATCAGATCAGCAGTCACGCTTTAGGCAGCCAGTGATCAGTAAAGCCGCAGCTCAGGTCAGGACTGGCAAAGGAGATGTAATTAGGGATGGGCTCAGGGGTTTCATCACCCAGACCCCCCACCACACCTGCAGCCCAGCCGGACAAATGTACAACCGCGTAAGTTTAAAAGCAGTTCTGTCAGAGCAGCTGTTGTTTCATGTTGTTTTCTACCTGTGCTTATTTCCCATTTTAGTCCAATGTCTGGGAATGAAGAGCGCACTTTCATCGCCATCAAGCCGGATGGGGTGCAGAGGGGACTCGTCGGAGAAATCATCAAGCGCTTCGAACAGAAAGGATTCAAGTTAGTGGCAATGAAGTTAATCCAGGTAAATTAAATTAACTGTCTTGAACCTCGACGAAAGTCTGTGTAGTCTTATTGTACATTTCCTTGTAAAGGTCAAACAGCGCAATGACCAGTGCGTCAAAGTAACGTTAGACTGCAGATGACACAGACATTAAGAGATTGCGTTACATAAACGTTTCGTGAATGTATTACATACGGCAAAAGTGGCAAACTTTTTTTAAATACTTAAAAATCAGTTGTATTAGGCCTAACTGTAACCTTTTTTTATTAGAATTGTAGATATGGTAAAAAATCATGAAAATATGTTTAATAGTCAATAATATTTTATGAATGTTTAAAAATAATAATTACAGTATAAATGTACATGAATCTGTACATCTGAAATGAATATTCATCATATTTTTATATGCATGTGTATTATAATGACTGGAGTGAAACTCTCTCCCTCTGTCTATGTATGTGTTTTGTATTTGATTATTTGTTTACTGCATTAATTTACTTACAGTTTTTACTACTTATAATATTAACAGTTTTGCATATTTTGTTATTCATCTTTTTTCATTTATTTATGCTCTTGAATTGGGCTATATGACATTGACCTTTCCTCTAACAACTTCTGTAGTTAAATAGTTTGAGAAAGTGATGTTTATTGACATTTTTGATAGTTTAAATGGATACATTGTCTGGCCTGGTGTTGTAAATTACTAAACAAAACTTGGTCATTATATAACACATAGTTTAATATAACTTCATTGTCTATATATTATCTCTGTATTGTTTCAAATACTAAATTGTCAATAAAAGCCACTTTTTAAACTGCAAGCTGCAGAGTTGAAGATTCAACATCAAAAGTCAACAGCAGAGATCAAAATCTCATAATAAATAGATTAAATTAATTCCTAACCATAAATAAAAAAAAACTTGAATAACAAAATTTGGAAGCTGTTCATTTGTTTTTTTACTATATATTTTTATTCATTTATTTGCTTTAAAAAGCAAATTTTTTACTTCCATTATCCTATTGTCCTCCTAAGTTGCTTTGAATTAAAGTATCTGTCAAATGAAATGTTTTATAACTGCATTTTATTTACTTCTTTAGTCTGTGTGTGTGTGTGTGTGTGTGTGTGTATGTATATATATATATATATATATATATATATATATATATATATTCTTTTAAATTATTTTTTTAGTACCTAAAAGATAAAAAAAAAAAAAATCCCTAGTCTTTGCAGAGCTCTATTTTTAGTGTAGGGAAACTTAAACTGTCTCTCAGACACACTCTTGTCTCTTCTAATGGTTAAACCAATTACCAACTCTAATCGTAGTTGCTTGTGGTCTGCAGTTTTCCCACTAAATATATCCCCGACTGACCTTCCAATTACTAAGAAAATTAAGATTTATTCACACACACACACACACACACACACACACACACACACACACACACACACACACACACACACACACACAAAGTTGAATTATGAAAACTTTTTTTTTCCATTTAATTCAATACATTTGTTTTCGTTAATAATTTAAATACTTTTTTTTAATTGTGGTTTTGCCTGCAGGCAGATGAGGATCTTCTTAGACAGCACTACAGTGACCTGAAGGATCGGCCTTTTTTCCCTGGACTTGTCAGTTATATGTCTGCTGGTCCTGTGGTTGCAATGGTAAATAGAACATTATATATATTCCTATATATATATATATATATATATATATATATATATATATATATATATATATATATATATATATATATATATATATATATATATATATAAACTACTACTACACTGTAAAAAAATTACAGTAACTTACGGGCAATTTTGGTTGTATCTTGAATCTTTGTATCTGCATGTATCTTTAGGGTTTTTTTTATATTATTTCATCTTATTTTATTCTTAAAACCACATGTTTATTATTAGACTGGTGTAACGAAGTGGCTGACACAGA